GAAGGGAAACGGACGAAGATTAAAGGTAAATAGCCGACCGACCCATTAACGGGAATTCCTTCCTTTACGCACGCCGCCCGCCGACCGACCCATTACGGGGAAACCCCTTTCTTTATGCACGCCGTCACGGACCCTCCCGGCACCGCGGCGACAATATATATATATATATATATATATATATATATATATATATATATATATATATATATATATATATATATATATATATATATATATATATATATATATATATATATATATATATGCATTGTGCACAACGCGTATTCATAATAAATTGCTGCAATGTTACGTGGTCTTCGTACTAGTGAGGGTTGTATGGGGCAGATATGCAGGGTCATTCTGCGCAACCATAGCCTCCTAGATTTCCCTTGCCTGGCGGATGAGCACGAAAGACAAGTCATCTATAGCGGCGCTACTTACGTAGGAGTAAGGGTCTTCGTACTTGGCCTTTGAGATTGGCACATTTTGGCGTTTGCTACAAGTTTCAGAGGCTATGTCTTGTTTGAAGGAGTTGCCTGTTGAATGAGCGCAAAACACCTGTCATCTATAACGGCGTCACTTACGTATGGTTAATTTTAATTACGTTTACGGCTTTTTAACTTTTTTACATTAATTTTGTTGCATATAAGCTCCAAAGACGTAAAAACTTATTCGAAGACACCCCCTTACTTATGTAGCGCCACCATCATAGTTCCGACGACGGCCGCTTTCCAAGTGACCGCCGATAATCCGGTAGGCAAGGGAAATCTAGGAGGCTGTGGCACAACTGAAAGCGAAACGAAAAGCTTTTGCTGATCAGCGACAGACATGGTGAACGGCCGAGCGTCGTTTTTTTCCCGCCTAAACGGCAGGGAATTCGAAAATGGTACGCACTGCCTTCACGGTGCTCGGATGAAGACTCAAAGACTTTCGCTGCTTTGAGAAAGACATGGTAGACCTTCAGGTGAGCATTAATTACCTCACCGGTTTGTGGCCACTCGCATAATATTCTGTGGTAGGCAACTTCGAAGAGCCCCGTCGCCTCAGCTGCCGGTCGGTACCAAGTTTATTATCGGTTAGACACTTGGTGAAGTGCGCGGCGGCGGGAAAACATGTCAGCTGTAAGTTCACTGCTTTGTGACAACCACTCGGGGAATGAATTAAACCTTGTCGTCGGGATAAATTTTGCCGGGGCACGTGGGTCAAGTTATAACCTGAGAAACTGTTGTGGTGCGTTTTTGAAGTGGGGGTGCATTACTTACTGGATGTTCTGAATGTCACCACAAATCTAGGTCGGCTTGTCCGCGAATATTCCCGGCACTTCCGATGCCACGTGTGCCTTTTTTTATCTTCAGAGAGGCAGTTTATAGGCTTCATCCTTCGACGTAATGCGAAAGCATTTGTATTCTCTAGTATGTGATGCCCGTGGCAAACAAATGAACAAATAAGCGTATATATTTGCCGATTCCTTCATATACACCATGCTGGTGAGTCACTAGTGCTGTGCTTAGCATGTTTCTGTCGTGAGAATTGAGATAAAATATTTAATCATAACCAAACATTTGCGTCAGCTCTTTTTTGTTCATCTTTCAATGTATGTACCTGCACAACACTGCCAAGCAGTGAAAACAAGGCAGGGATACTTTCCACAGATTGAAAGAGATGTACTCGGCTGCTGACCCGCAGGTCGCGGGATCGAATCCCGGCTGCGGCGGTTGCATTTCCGATGGAGGCGGAAGTGTTGTAGGCCCGTGTGCTCAGATTTGCGTAAACGTTAAAGAACCCCAGGTGGTCGAAATTTCCGGAGCCCTCCACTACGGCGTCTCTCATAATCATATGGTGGTTTTGGGACCTAAAACACCCCTAATCAATCAGATTGAAAGAGATAGGATATGAATGTTAAAATATATGTGACTACTCTGCTGATGGTAGGTGGAGGCTTTATAACAATCCTAAATATATTTGCATAATGGGATATAAGTTTATGTGCTAGTTCATAATCTCATGTGATATTTCTAGAAAAGCACAGTCATAGCACGAGTTTTGTGAAACGTTTTATTTTTTTTGCGAAATGTTGTATTGCCAAATTTCAACAATTTTTTCACTTAGTGCTAGCCTAACTGCCGCATCACAGGCTCTCTGAACAGCCCAAAGTTGATGATAATCAGAGTTCTTGAGGGCCGAGCTCTACTTATGCTCGGTGAGGTCCTTGTCCCCATGTAACGAGGGGTCACCATGTTTTGGGCTTCCATGATTTCTTGAATCATTTTTTCACCAGACCTGCATAGTACTCCCATGCTGCTGAAGGCGATACGCATTCACAATCTCAGCAGTGGATGCCTATATGTCCTGACATTCGCATGGTGAGACGGCGCACAAGCTAGTATACGAAAGCTTGCACTCAACACAAGCATTGCATCAGCACCAATATGCATCACAACTTAGTGAAGCACTTTTTCGAATATGCATACGAGTCGGCGACGGTGATAGAAGCAAAATCAAAGAAGGGGAGACAGCAGGCAGTGCCGCTGAGGAAAAAATAAAGTTGCAAGGTCTCACCACCTTTTATGTCGACAGGCTAATATTGAACCCTTGCTTCGTGCTTCATCCCGTCACAACCACCTAAAATATCCCCCCGCAGCCCGTACTACCGCCCACATGAACTCATTTTTCATTCAGACTGCTTAGGACTAGAATCGTCTTCCTGCCAACGTGGTGCACCACCCCAGCCATACATCCTTCAAGGCACCAATAGAAACCATCATGTTATAGTTACACCCACCCATCATTTCATACCCCTCACGGGGCATTTGAGGTAATAATAAATAGATAATTAATAAAATAAGTTCATAACAAAGGAGACATCAATGACTTGAAAAATTACAAGCCAATCAGCTTACTATCCGTTCTCTGCAAACTATTTACAAAAATAATAGCTAATAGAATGAAAGATACATTAGAGTTCAACCAAAGAACCAAGAAGGATTTTGCGCAGGCTACTCCACAATAGACCATATTCATACTATTAATCAGGTGATAGAGAAATGCACAGAACACAACCAACCCCTATACATAGCCTTCATAGATTACAACAAGGCGTTTGACTCGGTCGAGTCATCAGCAATGATGCAGGCACTATGGAATCAGGGCATCGACGAACCCTTCATAAATTTACTGGAAGAAATACGCAGCGAATCCACAGCCACCATAGTGCTCCATAAAGAAAGCGACAGAATCCCAATAAAGAAGGGTGTAAGGCAGGGAGACATGATCTCTCCAACGCTATTGACTGTGTGTTTACAGGAGGTTGCCATAAATTGGGATTTGTTAGGGATAAGAATTGATGAAGAGTTTCTTCGTAATCTGCGAATCGCTGATGACATTGCTTCAATCAATAACTCGGGAGAAAAATTACAGCTCATTATTATTGAACTGGACACAGGAAGCAGAAGAGTAGGTCTGAAAATTAATATGCATAAAACTAAAGCAATGTGCAACACTTTGGACAGAAAACAGCGCTTTGCCACGGGTGGAGAGATGCTGGAAGTTGTAGGCATCTATTAATGCTTTATCCTCATCTAAAGAGCCGTCAATCAGCATCACCTGCCCTGGCTGACAGTCATCATTGTCTTTGTAGGTGCACTTCATCTTTGGGTCCCGAGTTCATGGCCAATAAACCTCGTTACAACCGAGTCGTCAGACATGGTGGAGATGCTAAGTACCTGTTCTGCCACGCTCTCTTCAACATCATGTACTAAGTGCTTTTCATGACTGATGGCCACCTCGGCTTTCACAAAACCTACGATCGCATTCGAAACACCTTTTATTGGCCTGGCCTTTTTATGAGCGTAGCAAGGTACGTGGGTTCCTGCTCTCCGTGTCAGCTTCGCCAATTTCTGACTTCGCCAATTTCCGAGAGGAAGGTATATAACAGCTGCATCTTGCCGGTACTTACTACAGAGCAGAAACCTGGAGGATTACAAAAAGGGTTCACTGTAAATTGAGGACGGCGCAGCGAACGATGGAAAGAAAATTGATAGATTTAAGCTTAAGAGACAAGAAAAAAGCAGAATGGGTCAGGGAACAAACCGAGGTTAAGAATATCATAGTTGAAATCAAGAAGAAGAAATGGACATGGGCCAGGCACGTAGCTCGTCGGCAGGATAACCGTTGGTCATTAAGGGTAATAGACTGGATTCCAAGAGAAGGCAAATGCACAAAGGGGAGACAAAAAGTTAGGAGGTCCGATTAGATTAAAAACTTCGGCAGCTATAACATGGCAGCAGAAAGCACAAGGCCGGGTTGACTGGCAGGTCATGGGAGAGGCCTTTGCCCTGCAGTGGGTGTACTCAGGCTCATGATGATGATGATGATGATGAATTGATAGAAATGAAGCACACTGTCTTTTGGGGGAAGCCAGAGACATCACGTACCAAGTTTCAGAAAAATATAATGGAGGCAATGTTGCCTAAATGTACAAAAAAAACATTAAAATCCGTGATGTCATCATTCACGACATTGGAGAGAAATTTAAAAGTTATGCAGCGATTGTCTTATCTATTAATAAAGCTGTGGCATTAAAATTGATGACACCAGAATTTTCAGAGTATAATTAATCCGTATAAAGTGATTCATTGCTTCACATCAGTGCATTTGGTAACATTTTGTCATGTGCACTAAAGGTATTTCGTACGAGTCACTGTCTTAACCTCATCAATCTCAAAGGTAGCTTTCACAGACACCTTTAATAGTTGCTGCATTTAGTAATGTTGTAAAAGCATTCCTATTTGCTTGACATTTTTTAGTGAAAATGATCTAGTTTAAAAGCACGTGTTCCTAATAATTACAAGTTCACCTTTCTAGTTTTGCTTATGTTCAAACTCAAACACTTGATCAATATACCGACCCAAATCGCATCACTTGTCATTTTCACGTGCCCCATAAGACGTTCCGTTCGGTCATGTCATGCATGGGAACTATTTGAGAAGCTGTAAACTTACCTGGCTCTAGCGTGGTCTTCAGAAGCACCAATTTCATCCATTGGCTCCTGCTTCACAGACATCGCCATTCTTTCGCGGGTCATGATGAGAAAAAAAAAAGAAAAATTACAGGTCACATAGAGCACAACTGTACCTGGAAATCATAATTTTTTCCAGCTGAAATAAAGCTGAGTGGTCCATTGCCACAAAAGAACTTCCTTCACGTTTAACCTTCTGTGTCAAGCAATATAATGCAGCACTGCATCGCGTTTACGCTGACTAAGTGGTCCACTCTTCTTGAACGCTGAGTAATTGCAAAACAGGAGCATGTTATTTGTGTGCCTTAAAGGGGTCATGACAAGGTCACCCAAAAATTGACGGTTTTCGGCAATAAACAAATTTAGAGGGTCAAATGTGCTTGTACACGTGTGAAAACTGGACTGTAACAAATTATTTCAGTCCAAAATATGCCGAAGAAATCATCGACTGCATACTCCGCCCACAGCCGGCGACCGCCATTTTGTCATGCCGTGCGTGACGTCACAAGCCGAAGGAGCACTGTCGTCGGCTGCTACTAAACAGCAGCTTTTGCACACGGTCAGTGTTGGGAGTGTTGCTTGCTGCACATGTCTGTGGGTTGCAAGTGTTGTGGTGTGTTACCAGCACCATCACCATATGCGGTGACGACGTCATGTACGTTGCACATTTTGACTTCGACTTCATCGCCACCAGCTCAAGCGACAAAGAAAGCGTCGAGGACGGTGTAAACCAAGATGCCAATTACCTTGCCATTGTAGCATACGTGGCAGACAGCTTTCCGCGATGATTAGTAGCTTTATTTCAAGCATGTCAGGTTGAAAAGCAAGCTTGGGATAAGGGGGTCTGTCGATGCTGCATGCGCGAGCAAGTAGTACTTAGCACCCTGTAATTGGCAAAGGGTGCAGATATTTGTTGGCTAGCATGTGTGCATGCACAACTTTCAATACTAAACGTAATAAATGAGTGGTCATAGCAATGTTGTGCATTGGGACTGTTTTTTCATTGGTGGTTGTGTGCGGCATATGTAAACATAAGCTAAAGCGAATGGCATGTCAGTGCGGCGCTATCGTTACTCATGATATACCGTAATTACTCGAATCTAATGCGCACCTTTTCTCCGGTTAAGCGAGTTCATAAATCGCATGCGCGTTAGAATCTAGTACGAAAAAAATGAATACGATCATTCTACTGCCATCGGCATTTCCAAAATGGCCGCCTCCTACGTGCGTCGGCATGGCGCTTCGGCCATTTCTGCCTATTGTTGTGCCACAGACATGTTCCTCGTTCGGGAGCACGTCTCACGAGATCGAGCCCTGTTCCGACGAATTGTCTCCCCCCTCACAGCGCCGCCTTCCGTGCAGAAGAACCGTGCAGTTCCGGGGATAACGTCGCTTCCTCCGCCGAACCACTTTGCAGTTCCGGGTAAGGCTGCGTCTCCTCAGCCGAGCCACTGTGCCGTTCCGGGGAACTGGTCTCGGAGAAGAGTCCCAAAACGCTATTTAAGGCCGTGCCGGCCCCATGTTAGAGGATTTTGCCCCAGCCGACGTTGTCGTGCTGGCCGGCTCTGTACAAACGCCAACCTGATACAGTAAACGCTACTTTTGTTGCTGTTTTCAAAACGGATTGCCTCCCTGTTTTGCCTTCGGGCTAAGGCTTCAGCGAAGTCCGCTCGACGGCTCACCGCTCTTCGCCACCGCTACCATCGCGACAGAGCAAAATTCATAACAGTGGTGGCAGCGGTGGGATACGATATCCTACGTTTGGCACGCCGGATCAGACCCCTGGAAGCTCGAGCACGACCGACCTGATATCAGCGTTTGGATACGCTGGGATACGCTACCCCTGTCCTCAACGTTTTGCTGCTCTGGGACCCGCTACCGCGATCTCAACAGCTGAAAAGTTGGATCGGATCTCCGAGCACGAGGACAACCACCGTGATAGCGTTTGGCTACGCTGCGATACGCTGCCCTGTTTTCATCGTTCGGCAAGCTGGGACAAGCAACCCCGGATCTCAACATTGGCAAGTTGGACCGGATCCCTGAAGGCCTGACACTGTTCGACGGCAGCCACGAGTTGGACCATCGTCGGCTACTTTGGTTGGGTGAGTGCCCAACGTTTACTGTTCATTTCGCCAGACCTCTCTAGCACAGGCAGATGTTAGGAGAGTGTTTTGTTTTGTTTTGTTGGTTATAATTTAATATTCACCTACTTTAAACCACGAGATTAGTTTTGGAGTACGGTGAATATCAGTAGTAGAGCATCACGAGGGACGAGATCGCGATGGAGCAGTACCTGGTGCAGGACCTCCTTGAAATTTGTGGAGCCATGGGGATTTTCGCCGGTTCCGCTAAAACAAGGGAAGCGATTCTCGAGGTGATGCGGGCAGAGAATGTGACGGCCGAGGAAGCTGACGAGTTTTGGGAGCTCATTTGTGAGCAAAAGCAGAAGGCCGAGAAAAGCCGCGAAGAGCTCGAAGCTCAAAGGCGCGAACAGCAGAAGGCCGAAGAGCTCGAAGCTCAAAGGCACGAACAGTGGAAGGCCGAGGAGTGCCGAAAAAGGAGAGAGCATGCTCTCAGAATGAAAGAGCTTGATCTTCAAATTCAAGCACTTAAATGGGAGCGAGCTAAACACCAGCTCCACAACTTTCAGACAGGCGAGAACATCGCGCATTTTCTTGATGATTTTGAAGTTGTCTGCTGTAATGTTGGTGTTAGCCGCGACCTTTGGGGGGAGAAGCTCACCACGCTGTTGCCGCGCAAGATAGCGCATGTTTTGAATTGCTTACCCTTCGAGGTAGCAAGAGACTTCAGTTATGTTAGATATGCCTTGATAAGATATTTTTTTCTTTCAAGTCATGCTGACGAGGAAAGTCGGAGCGATGAAGACAAGGTTGAAGCGCCACGAAGGGCGCTAAAGGACGACGCCCGCCGAAAAGAGCGTGAGGATGAGGCGCGAGGCGCGCCGTAAAGCGATGGAGGTGGAAGCGCGTGAAAATGAGGCTCGCCGAAGAGCGCTAGCAGTAGAAGCGCGTCGAGAAGCGCGTAAAGATAAGGCATGCCGAAAAGCTATGGAAGCTGAGGCCCGTCGCGAAGCACAAGCCGCAGAAGTGTGCCAGAGAGAGCGAAACGCCGAAGTGCGTCGGATAGAGCCAGACGCCGAGGTGCATCGCAAGGAGTTTGGGGCCGAGGCCCATCGCAAGGCTAAGGACGCCGAGGCGCATCGCGAAGCGCTAGAGACGGAGCCGCTTCACAGCACACATGATCCAGATGCATCGCATCAAAAAGAGCTTGACGACAAGTCGAGTCGTAAGGTGCTACAGGTTGATGCCTGTCGACAAAAGCTTGAGCAGGATGCGCGACATAAAGCGCTACAGAGTAAAGCTCGAAAAAGAGAGCATGAGGCCGACTTCGAAGGGCAGAGAAAAAGAGATATCCGCGACAGCGATAGACCCCCACCGATTGAAAGCTCTGTAAGCGCCTTTGTTAGCCTTAAATTAATCGGGCCTCCCGTTATGCCACAGGCAGAGACCGCTAGCACCGGGCGCCAGGAAACGATAGCCAACAAATTGGGAACTTCGACTCCACACAAAGAAGGCAGCACACCTGTGAGTAAGTGTGTCGAGGCTGCCAGTACTGTGAGAAGTCCCGACAGAAAGAGGCGTCTGCGCAAGCGTAACGTGGTGAAGACGACGGGCGCCAAGTGCGCTAGAGCCGCTGTTAAGCGCTGTGACGTCTTCATTCGAGACGCCAGGTTCAAGGCTAGGCGCACGAAAGGGCCCCCTATGAAATGTTTGAAGCACAGATTGTCACGCAGATCAAGATTTGGCGGACAGCGTGTTCAGAAAAACCTACTTTCCGGAAAATTCGGACGCCGAGATCTTCGCCTGGCCTTATCAATTTTGAAGCCGCGTAGAGGCAACCACGAGAGGAAACATCGCGTACCTCTGAGTTGTTACAAAGGCTATAGTTCCCCACCGTGGCGAGAGGGTTACTGGTCGAACGGGCGGCGTAAACGATGCAATGCAGATGCCCCTTTCTTCGAGTTCAGCGGCTGCGGGTCAAAAGTCGCTGCTACTGAGTTCGGCGAACAGGCTGATACGTCGTCCTTTTGTCCAGACCGCAACCCTCAAAAGCTGTGGAGTGCGCGACTCCCCAGAGTTCGCCTGAGAGAGTGCCGCCTTGCTAATACGAACAGCTTTTTTTTTGTATTTAATTTTGAGAATAACCTTTTCTAATTTTGTCGCCCTCCTATTAACTATGAATGCATCTGAATTTTTGTAAGTTTTCCTTTCCTTCCGATTGGAGAAGCAGGCATTGATATGTTTGTTTGATTAATTTTGTTTTCATGATATTTCGAAAGTAACAGTTAGTGTGTTTTATTTTAACAGATAAGGCTGAGTAAAAGCCCCTGTTTAAAATACCTTTTGTGTTTGACATTACATTTATTATGCGCGTCAATGTAGGTCACCTTTGCCCTTTGTTTTGTTTAACGTGCGCATGTTTGATTTTCATTGTTATTTTCTTACTTTTCAAGCGTGTTTTATTTTGTTGCGATGCTCATTGGCTGAGCACCTTGAATTAGGGCTTATCGAATGACTTTGTTTTGTTTAGCGGTCTGAAGCTTGCAAGAGACGCCAATGTGCGTGATTCGGGAGTTCTTGGTGTTCTAAATTGTAGATTAGGGGCCAAATTGAGTTAACCTCGGCAGCTTCGATTGTCCCTAATCTGCCCGGGTCACAATCGAGAATCGCTCACGAAAAAAAAATTCTGTTTGGGTTTAGCAGTGTCATGCACTGTAAAGGAGTATCGGCATTGTGTATTCCTCCCGAGATTCGTTGCTCGTGATGCTATTCATTAGCTCAGCGTAATCTCGAAGAAACATTTGGTTTCTGCTGGTCTGGCGATTTGATCAGCATTTGGAGGGTGCTTGCTTTGGCCAGAGTAGTTCGGCTTTGTGTTCGACTCCGTCGTTCCAGTGAACTTCTGCAGGCCTATGAAAGTCTCAACGGGCGGAGAAAGTGGAACGGCTACCGACGGTCTACCAGCATCCCT